AATAATAATAATAATAATAATAATAATAATAATAATAATAATAATAATAATAATAATAATAATAATAATAATAATAATAATAATAATAATAATAATAATAATAATAATAATAATAATAATAATAATAATAATAATAATAATAATAATAATAATAATTAATAATAATAATAATAATAATAATAATAATAATAATAATAATAATAATAATAATAATAATAATAATAATAATAATAATAATAATAATAATAATAATAATAATAATAATAATAATAATAATAATAATAATAATAATAATAATAATAATAATAATAATAATAATAATAATAATAATAATAATAATAATAATAATAATAAGTTAGGAGATGAGAAAGCAAGATAAGAAACGAAGAAGTGGAGACCAGAAGGTATAAATTAGGTAATGATATGGCAGGTTTGTGTTATCAACAAAGGTAATCAATTAATTGTTCCTATCGTTTACACTCATTTCATTTACACAACCCAAACCATCAGTCCTTCTTTTTTACTTCGATTATAATTATAGAATGACTACAACAAAAGTAATATTTTATTGTCAAATTCTTCCTATTTTTTTTTCGACAGACACTAAATTGAATTCGTAAATTAATTGTCATAAATTAATTCGTTTATTCATTTCTGACATTTCATATTTTTTCGTTTTTTTTGCGCAATTTAGCAATGATATATTTTTAAATTGTTATCAAAAGTTACCTGTTAAGAGCAGTTACATTTATTTTTCAATTACTCCGATGAAATTTATGTGATAATGGTATGTTTAGCTTTATTCGTCATTGTACCTTTCAAGTTTTCAAGTATTAGACATATCATGTCTCATTACTATGATAATTCTAACGCAACACAAATAATACAAAAAATATTGATTAAAAAGACGATTAAGGACGATATGAGAATAATTTATGGCATTTTCTTATTTTCCCCAAAGTTTTTCTTTTATTCCTTGTCTAATTTTGATGATTGTTAAAGATGTCAATTGAGAAATAAAATTATCATCACATTGTTGCAGGAATCAACACAAGAAACAAATAATTTTTTGTTAAACAAGGAACTTGCTCTTGGATCGTTCTTTATCAATGTATTCATCGGAACAGTTATTGGTATTTTTTTTCACAGTTAGAAATAGTTTGATAATTTGATGAACAGCAATCAAAAAAGGTGATAACTAAACTTAACATATCCAACATTTCCGTCTTTTTTTTCCCCATTGAATTAAAAACTGAAAAGTCTTCAGTCCCGATTGTCCAACATCTTAAAATAGGCGTAAAATAAATTTATCGTTGAAAAGCAAAACGCAAATGATGGAATTCTTTAACTCTTTTTTTTGCTTTTTGATTATTTCAATCTTTACAGACATTTTTGAAGATGTATTGAAAAGTAACGGAAGTCAAATAGATATCAAAAAAAAAGTTAAATGATAACGATATTTATTATATAAATACACATACGTCTGAGCTTTGGTGATAAAGGAACTTAAACGTGTTCAACGTATGAATTTAACGTGTTTATTAGGAAATAAATATGCGTATAAAGATGATATTTGAATTGTAGTAATAATTAGAGAAATTAAAATGAAAAGAAAACTGGATAATAATTTGTGAAATATTTGATGTAAAATGACCGAAATTTCAAACATTTGATGTAAAAATAATAAAATTTCAGGTTTATCAGTGGAAATCCTACCAAATCTTTATTTGGAACCGTATCGCCGTGGATTTTATTGCAATGATTCAAGCATTCAATTACCATACAAATCCAGTACCATACCAACATCAGCACTTTTCATCGCCATATTTCTTCTTCCATTTCTTGGAGTTTGTTTTTGTATTTTTATTCAAATTTTCTGTCTATCCAAAATTTTTTTCAAAATTTCCCTTATTAAGTTCCAAGTGAATAAATTTCCATTTGAACTAAGATAAAATTACGTAGGTATATTCTATTGGAATGATTAAAATAGTCTTTAAAAGACAGTATCAAAGTTTTCTGACTGAATAAATTTTCCATTCCTTGTTATTGTTTTGAACTTAAATTTCCATTTCTGTACACTCCAAAAAGGAAAAAAAAAGATACAAAAGAATAAGAATCATTTATTTTATAAATATTTTAATTTCTCATTTCTAATAAAAAAATTCGGTTGAAATATAAAAAACAGCGGCGACTACTACAAAAAAAGCTTGAAAAAGTAGGAAAAAATATATATATATATATATATTACCACTAATCGTCTCTTCAGTTTGTTCTGTTCCTTTCAGCAGAACCATTTCATCAACGTGATGTAATCGTGTTTAGAATTATTCCATTTGTTGGTATAATTATTAGCAAGCTGCGTTATTTATTTCAATTTTTCTGGCTAGAAATTGGCTGGGAAATGGAAAGTGGCAATGATTAGGATCAGGAAAATGAAAAAGTAAAGAGGAAAAAAAACTCTCACTCTGTTTATCCTCTCTCTCTATGTATGGACAATTTCATCACAATGATATATATATACTCATGTTTAAAAATTTCTCATTTGCAAACAAATAATAAGTAATCGTGCTAATGATGGTAGTAGTAATTAGCGGATAATCTTCAATGAATTTCAGATTGTTATTACCGAAATATGGCGTTGGAGATACTGCAGAGAAATATACAGTTGGCGAAGTTACAATTTCAATCAGATATTAGTTAACTGTTTTAAATATAATGGTAAGTATTATGCATTCGTTTTTTTTTCAAATTTTTTAACCCTCTTCTCCAATCCTTTGTAGATTAATTAGTGAATATTGACGTCAACTGTTGTTCATTTATTCATTCCTTAATGAGATAATGGTTGCCAAATTTTTTGTATAAAAATCTATAAATCCTAATTCATTTAATATTTGATTTTTTAATTGAAATAATTGCAGTTTATATGAATTGGTAATAATGATTTACTTTTATAGCGTATAATTTGCTGGGAATAGTTCTAGCACTTTTGCTAACAGTTTCGACAAAGTTCATTGTTGGTGAATTAAGGCCGGTATTTTTGGATATATGCAATCCATCATATGATAGTAGTTATTGTCTTAATCATACATATATCTTGAATTATAAATGTCGTGGCAATAATTATGATCAGACTGTTAAAGAAGCACGACTTTCATTTTTCAGTGGACATGCTTCATTATCTATGACATCGGCAATTTTTTTTATGGTAAGTTATAAGGATGCTTAATAGTACTTGATTAAATAATATTCGAACATTTACACTTTTCCATAATATTCTAATATTTAAACATTTACACTTTTACATAATATTCTATACGTGATTTTTTATGTTGCATTTTTGATACACTAGAGCAAAAATATAATTAATAACTTTTAGATTTATATACAATCACGCATTCCACGTAGAGGCTTAGCTATTGTAGCGAAGCCTCTGGTACAGTTATTTGCTCTTGGCTTAGCATTGTATACTGGCTATACTCGAATCATTGATGGCATGCACCATTTACATGATGTAATTGTTGGATATGTCGTTGGTGTACTGTTAGGCTATATTACTGTATGTTTTATTTGTCTGATTTTCGATTTATCAAAAAAGATAAAGAAATATATTTGGGATAAAAAATAGCTGAAATGTAAATATATAATGTTAATTAACAGTTGTATTAAATTCGTTTTGGTCAGAGAAAATTTATTGAAACAATAGGTAATAATTGAAGATATAATACAAGATGAAATGAGGAAAAAATTGTCTTATTTAATTATTTCAGGCTAAATATATAGCAGGATTAAGCACAAAAGCTGATAGAATGCGACCAAATGAAATGGAATTACAAAAAATTGAATATCCACTAACATCATCAGATGAAAATGTACCAGCGTATAAAGCAAGTGTTGTTCGAGTTGAACCAACCAAATTACGATTATTTCATTAATCAGTTGTTTGATTCAACAATAATGTGTACATATATACTTCGATCACTTGAATTCTTTCTAGTTTTCTTTTCTCTTGCTATTCATTTCAAAAATTGTACAAATTTCATAAAATATTAAAATATTTTGTAACTAATATCATTTTGGGGTGGATAAAATTTTTCCTTTAGTTTAAAGCATGCATTTCTTCTATAAGGACAGCATTATTATTCTTTTCTTTTTGTTATTTTTGTTATTTTTTGTTATTTATTTTTTCCTTTTGAAAGTGAATCTGACGGCAAATAGCATATCTAATCTTGATCATTTCTTATTAGCATTCTTTTCTTTTTTTTCTATTTTGTTATATTGACTGATCAGAAAAGAAACAAATAACGCAATGATAATTTTATTAATGAGCGATATATGATTAAAGCAGTTTCGAGCACAAATTTGATTAAACAAAGTGAATAGTACTTAATGATATGGGATATGCGTGTAATTAAGTTAACATTTTACATGGCATGGACGAGATTCCTTTTCGGGTGCATTACATGGTGAATTTTCTTCGTCATCAACATAACGATGTGGTCTGATAATACGTCGTCGACGAATTTGTTTCCCATCACCACATGTTACCGAACAAGGTGACCACATTGTCCATGGTTTGATATGACAATTTTGAATTGCTATAAATTGTGACAATTATAAATCATTTAATTGTGTCAAAAAAAAAAAAAAAAAGAAAACAAGAAGCAGAATAGGAATTTAAAAATTTCATAGTTTATTGTTTGAAAGGAAACAGATTACTGTTAAATAAATACACAACTCACCACAGGGTCTCAATTCACAACGTAATTCTTGTACCATATGTTCGGGACATGAACGTCCACCATTACGTGGGAACACCTAGAATGATGATGCATGAAACTGAATTAAATTAAATTTGAACTCATTATTTTATATCCTGCTATTTGTTTATTTGATAAGCAGTCAAAACCAAATAATTAGAATTAATCTTTTCTATAATATATAGTACTTTAACTGGTAATCCTTAACCATTTCTGTTTTAGCGACAAAAAAGTACCAACTTCTATCTGTCGTGAACGTTGTCGTTTGCCTGAGCCACATGTAGCCGAGCAATTCCCCCATGGTGTCCATTCTGAGATTAGGCAATCAACTGGTGGACCACCATCATTTACCTGATCAACACCAAATTCGTTGACTAACTGATGACCGGGTACTTAATATTATTAACATTAATTCAATAAGTTACAAGTAATCGATATTTTTGCTCGTTTTATATCCATTCATTCTAATTGAAATTTGAATATTCGACGTAGAAGTTTTTTTTGCAAAAAACGCACAAATATAGATGAAATTCTTGAAATAGTAAAAAACAATTTCTAATTCCAAAATAAATCAGCTGAGATAACTGACCAACTTCTCTAACTGGACTGTCGTAATTTTCCAAACACATCCGTTTACATTCATCTTCAGTTTCGAATTGATTCCGATTACCTTTACAACCGGTATAGATAAATCGTTCACAACGTTTCAGCTTCGAATTATACCAATAACGCGGAAATGTCCCAGCGCATTGTCCTTCTTGCTTATCCTCCATACATATTTCTATATCACTGATAACATTTTTAAAAAGAAAATCTAATATTATCACTGTATTCATACTAATGATTTATTACCAGTAACTCAATTATCTTCTTTCAAGTATCTCCTTATCAGTAGTAAAAGTGCTTATGAATTTTGAATCCATATTTTAATCAGTGAACTAGACAATGTTTTGCATATTAAATCTCTCAAAATCAACCGAAAAAGTCAGAAAAAAACTATTAAAGCAAATACTGTCTTAATTTAAATTTTGTAATGAAAATATTTGGTCAGACTAAAATTAAATTTAAAATGCCAAAAAATGAAGAAACCCTTCGAATGTACGCTTAGCAATCGTTGACAAGTTTGTAATTGGCAATTCTCTTTTTCGAGTAAATTAACATTGGCACAACGTTCTTCATGCTCAGCGTAAAAGAGTAGTCTAGTTCGGACGTGAACTCCGTCATCACATGACGCACTGCATGGTGACCATTCACTCCATGATGTTGCTCGACAAAGCGGATCTGGTGTTACTGAGCAATCATCACCGTTATCACCTGAAACAAGAGAGAGACATATTTCCTTCCTATCAACTGCAATCATTATCAGTATCACCTAAACAGAACATATGGAATTTCCTTTTCAATCATTTAATTATTTGATAGTAATCCGGATAAGTGCACGACAATTACATTTGAGATTTTCCGGAATGCAGAATTTAGTTGTTATCGTCGTAATATTGATAAGATTTTATGTTAGATATTTATTTCAGTAATAAATTAATAATACTTTCTAATGGAATTACTTAAAATTTCCACTCATTTTCTTGTGTTCTTAATTTCAAAAAACTCATAATCCATGATCTATTGGAAATGAAACCGTGAATTAATGGGCGACTCAACGGGTCATGACTTCATTCAGAAATCACGAAATCAATATTAAATTTCACTGATTATTTAAGTAATTGTATAAAGAAATCTGTTTCACTTTCAATACTTCGAATCGATGTAAACGAAACATTCCTTCTCTCTCAGAGAAAGAAAGAAACTCTATGAAATAATTTTTGTATGAGATCAGAAAAGAAGAGATTCGTGAAAATAAACGTAATAATTAACTACTAATTAACTAACCAATGCAGATATCTTTACGAATAAGTTCAACATTAGGGCAAGTGTCGGTATTTGAATCAGGTTCTTTAAACATTCTTGATCTTGATCGTGTCCCATGACCACATGTGACACTACATTCTGTCCATGCTGACCATCCGCTAACAGAACATTTCGAATTGAATGCATCCGAATCTGAATTCTTCGTCTGTCATTTCGGCATGTAGTATATTATTTTGATGAATAATGCTAGCAAAATTTTGGCACAATATTTAGAAGACTGCAAATGAATGCAGCAAGAGTGAAAAATTCAAAAACTTTAAACCGATTCCTTTATTCAAAAAAAAAAGAAAATTTAAAGAAATGTACAGACCACGACATTCACTAATTTCTGCATTGCAAAATTGTCGTTCGATTGTTTGACGATGACATCGGAACATTTGCGCTTTTATTGGAAATACATAAACACGAGAACGCATTCGAATACCTTTACCACATGTTGCGGAACACAATGACCAAGGCTCCCAATTTGTTACCATACATTCTCCTACGAAATAATTATTGGATGATTAAATAACTAATTGATTGCAAAAAAAAAACGAAAATTAATTAACTCGTTTTTCTCTTTTATAAAATTTCTAATTTTCGTAAGATTATAGTAAGTTTGTTGTATTATTCATTCAAATTATCGAGTAATATTTATCTTAAATAATGTACAGCATGTAAGTTTTCAATTATTTATTATTCAGTCTTTAAAATCTGCATCCATTTCAATCTTTTTATTTTTAATTATTGTTGTTGATCCTCATATTTTTTATATTCCTTCTTTTTTTAGATTAAAATATTTGTCATTAAAAGATGTAATCTTATTTGGTAAAAATTGATCAATTTCAAGAAATTTAAATTATAAATGTTGCTTCAAGAAAAGATAAATTTTAACAATACTATTAATTGAAATTTTAATATAAATTCTAAATATTATTTGAAAAAAGTAAGTTCAACAATGCCATCTATTAATATTTTAATGCAAATTAAAAAAAAAAAGTGTCAAAAATATACTAACGACGATCTTTGTATTCCTCATCTTCGCTAGTACTTGTTGCATTATAAGCTTCCGTTTGATATTCATTGGTCGTTTTACATACCGATTTGATTACTTCTTTCCGAGTTAATTTTAATCGTGCTAATGGTGCAATAATATCACTGTTCTCATTGTAAAAGGGTGATCGTTTATCCAATTTTGTTGTTATCGGATGAATTGGTATCCGAGGTTCTGCTGGATTATTTGGTGACTGAAATTGAAATTTTATATTATAAAACAATTTTAAAACAAATTATCAAAATTCCACCAAAATTTCCATTTGTAAATCATATGATTCTAAAGTATGCAATCAAATAAATAGCAAAAATGCAACTTTCTTTTTTTATTTGTATTTATTCCACAGTAATTTTTAGTTTTTAGTTGTTAATTTTGCAGCATAAACAATTTAAATCAAACTTTATCAATTAAACCTATTGAAAAAAAGAAAAAAAAGTGGAATATGAAACATCGAGATGATAATAACAAACATCATATAAAATTTAATAGTTTAAATCTAGTCATTTTAAAAGTACACAAATAATCAAATATATGAAGATGAATAATGAAGTTTAAAAATATACCATATAAGTTGGTCCATTATCAGTTCCAGCATCAAATGGCAACAATTCAAACGTTCTTTCCGGTATCCAAGTGCAATCAGGTAAGCATAAATTAATTGATGATATTCCAACACACCAATCCGGTGATGGTCCAAACATTGCAGCTAACGAAGCTAGATGATGATATCTGATAATTACAAAGAAACAATTAGTTTAATTCATCACATGTTTTCGTCTTTTTTTTTTGAAATCTTTATAAACTACTTTGTTTGCAAAATTAATTAAAGCAATTAATTAATTTCTCCCTCTCCTTCTTCTCCAACAAGTAATAACCCTCAATGATAAATATTTACTTGTTCACAACAAATGAGCTCGTCGTTCTTCCTTGCACTTCCGGATACCATAATCCTTTAATTTTCATTAAAGTACGAATCTCTTTCGCCTACAAATATATTGTTGAAAAAAATTTTTCAACAATTTAACATCATACATAAAATGAAAAAATATGATATAAATTAACTAGTTGATCAAATTTGTACTTAATAATTGTACTCAAAGTGATCAAATTTGTACTTAACAATCGTACTCGAAATAAACATTTATTTTTTATATTGATTATTTAAACATTAAAATAACGGTGTAATAAAAATATCGGAGCAAGCAAAAAAAAAAAGCAAAAATTTCTTATATCAGTTATGCAAAGCAGTAATGGAATTAAATTACAATGAAATTAATAGTAATAAAATTAAAATAAAATGAAAAAAGAAAAGAAATACATTTGCTTTCATTTCTTGCTCTCCTTTATAAGTATTACCCCATTCAGCAATTTCTTTCATACCATCTGTTGCAATCATACCAAATTTCCACATTGTATAATTGCTACTATGACTTGCTCCAAGCATATCCGTAAAATGCGTCAAATGTTCTACTGTATATATAAATATATGATAATATTACTGATAACGATAAAATTGTTTCAAAAAAAGCAAAGTAGAATGAAATTAATTGAATTTAAAAGTAAGACGGAGGAGTAAATTCAAAAAAAAATAAAAGTGAAGTTAAAGTAAAAAGTTAAAAACAAAGTGAAATTTTATTTTCAATTCGAATTTAAGAAATTACTAAAACAACATAATGTATCACTTTTCAGTTAATTTAAAAAAAAATGAATAAAGGAAAAGTCGAAAAAATTAAATGTTGTCATACAATTTCATCAAAAATTGAATTCTTTTTCCTAACTTTTCAATTCTTAATGTTTTTTCAATAACTTTTAATCTTTAAAAAACTAAAATCAAGATCACATTAAAGTATACTTCATTAAGTGCCATATCTTTGTATCATTGTGATTTAAAAAAAAAAAAAAGAAAAAATACGCGATGGATAATCTTTAGGATGTGTATCTCTTGACCATAAACCAATAAATTCTAAATCATATTTTGCTTCATCACAAGCGCAACAATCCAAATTATCCTCATCAATCGCCAAAGCCTTTTTGTAGCCTTCTAAAATTTTTGGAAAACTTTGAGTTAATTGAATTTAAAAATAAGCCATTCCATAATTTATTCAATTCATTTCTTATGAATTATTTCATAATTTTTTGCAAAACAATAATTTATAACTAATTGATTGATCATGTTTTGTGTATTATTGTATTATCAAGTATCATAATTCCAAACTACCATCAATTTTAAATGCAAGGGATAGGATGGAAAATTTTAGAACCTTTGACGCAAAATTTTTTCGTTAATGGTCCATCATCACCGTACCATATTTTCCGGGATGTGATTACGGAAGCACGGAAATATGTACATCCTTTTTCCGATGTATCCGGTGCATGCCATAATACATGAACAGACGTTTTAGGCCTTAAATTTGAATGTGATACACCAGCTTTGCGACAATTTGGTGCAATTCGAGCTTCACCTTTTCGTCCTTGAAGCTATAAAACAATTAAAAAATTTTCACTATTCAATATATTTAAAGAACTGATTATACAAATTATAAACACAAGTTTTCTATAAAAAAAATTTTTTTTGGAATAATTTATTTAATGACTTTCAAAGAAAGAAAGTTTTGTCTTAAAAATTCAAAATTTTCGACATTTTGTAAAAAATTTTAAATTTTATATTTGTAACAAAAAAGAGCCAAACTATATGAAAGAGAGAAAAAGTATGCAAAATAAAGGAAATCAAAGATTAGGTCAATGGAAGGATTGCATTAAATTACATTAAACAAAGATTACATCAAATTTCCCGGCATGTTCACCATTTTCAAATTGTGCATAAATACCAAATCCGCGGAAAGCTTGTACAGTGAACTTTGTGCGCCATCCTCGAAGTTTCACTGCAATCACACATTGAATAAATGATGAATATATTTTTGGGAATAATTGGACATCAAAGATTAAATGATATATTGAGGTAATCTATATATATAT